AATCCAGAGTGGATCACTGGACAGCAGTCAAGAACATCCTGAAGTACCTAAAGAGGACTACGGATATGTTTCTCGTTTATGGAGGTGACAAAGAGCTCATCGTAAATGGTTACGTCGATGCAAGCTTTGACACTGATCCGGACGATTCTAAATTGCAAACCGGATATGTGTTTATATTGAATGGTGGAGCTGTCAGTTGGTGCAGTTCTAAACAAAGCATCGTGGCGGGATCTACGTGTGAAGCGGAGTACATAGCTGCTTCGGAAGCAACAAATGAAGGAGTCTAGATGAAGGAGTTCATATCCGATCTAGGTGTCATACCTAGTGCATCGGGTCCAATGAAAATCTTTTGTGACAATACTGGTGCAATTGCCTTGGCAAAGGAATCCAGATTTCACAAGAGAACCAAGCACATGAAGAGACGCTTCAATTCCATCAGGGATCAAGTCCATGTGGGAGATATAGAGATTTGCAAGATACATACGGATCTGAATGTTGCAAACCCGTTGACTAAGCCTCTTCCACGAGCAAAACATGATCAACACCAAGACTCCATGGGTGTTAGAATCATTACTGTGTAATCTAGATTATTGACTCTAGTGCAAGTGGGAGACTGAAGGAAATATGCCCTAGAGGCAATAATAAAGATATTATTTATTCCCTCATATCATGATAAATGTTTATTATTCATGCTAGAATTGTATTAACCGGAAACATAATACATGTGTGAATACATAGACAAACATAGTGTCACTAGTATGCCTCTACTTGACTAGCTCGTTGATCGAAGATGGTTGAGTTTCCTAGCCATAGACATGAGTTGTCATTTGATCAACGGGATCACATCATTAGGAGAATGATGTGATTGACTTGACCCATTTTGTTAGCTTAGCACTTGATCGTTTAAGTTTACTGCTATTGCTTTCTTCATGACTTATGCATGTTCCTATGACTATGAGATTATGCAACTCCTGAATACCGGAGGAACGCTTTGTGTGCTACCAAACGTCACAATGTAACTGTGTGATTATAAAGGTGCTCTACAGGTGTTTCCGATGGTGTTCGTGGAGTTGGCATAGATCAAGAATAGGATTTGTCACTCCGATTGTCAGAGAGGTATCTCTGGGCCCTCTCGGTAATGCACATCACTATAAGCCTTGCAAGCAATGTGACTAATGAGTTAGTTGCGGGATGATGCATTACGGAACGAGTAAAGAGACTTGCCGGTAACGAGATTGAACTAGGTATTGAGATACCAACGATCAAATCTCGGGCAAGTAACATATCGATGACAAAGGGAACAACGTATATTGTTATGCGGTTTGACCGATAAAGATCTTCATAGAATATGTAGGAACCAATATGAGCATCCAGGTTCCGCTATTGGTTATTGATCGAAGACATGTCTTGGTCATGTCTGCATAGTTCTCGAACCCATAGGGTCCGCACGCTTAAAGTTTTGTGACGATCGGTATTATGAGTTTTTGTGTTTTGATGTACTGAAGGTAGTTCGAAGTCCCGGATATGATCACGGACATGACGAGGAGTCTCTAAATGGTCGAGACGTAAAGATCGATATATTGGATGACTATGTTCATACACCGAAAGTGTTTCAGGAGGTTTCAGACATCTACTGGAGTACCGGGGGTTACCGGAACCCCCCGGGGAGTATATTGGGCCTTATTGGGAGAAGAGGAGGGGCGGCCAAGGGCAGCCGCGCGCCCCCTCCCCCTCTAGTCCGAATTGGACAAGGAGGGGGGCGGCTCCCCCTTTCCTTCTCTTCCTCTCTCCCTTCCTTCTCCTCTCCTACTCCAACTAGGAAAAGAGGGAGTCCTACTCCCGGTGGGTGTAGGACTCCCCACTTGGCGCGCCCTCCTCCTTGGCCGGCCGGCTCCCCCTAGCTCCTTTATATACGGGGGCAGGGGGCACCCCAGACAGAACAATTGATCTGTTGATCTCTTAGCCGTGTGCGGTGCCCCTCTCCACCATAATCCACCTCGGTCATATCGTAGCGGTTCTTAGGCGAAGCCCTGCGTCGGTAGCTTCATCAAACATCGTCACCACGCCGTCGTGCGGACGAAACTCTCCCTCGAGCTCTACTGGATCGTGAGTTTGCAGGACGTCATCGAGTTGAACGTGTGCTGAACGCGGAGGTGCTGTACGTTCGGTGCTGAGGATCGGTCGACCGTGAAGACGTACGACTACATCAACCGCGTTGTTATAACGCTTCCGCTTAACGGTCTACGAGGGTACGTGGACGACACTCTCCCCTCTCGTTGCTATGCATCACCGTGATCTTACGTGTGCGTAGATTTTTTTTTGAAATTACCACGTTCCCCAACACACCTTAGTACAGAGGGGGTGTTGGGCTGTTTTCAAGATGTTGGGAGTTGTTTTTTTGTTGACCCAACTTCTTCAATGTCGGAAAGACTAGCACAATGCATGTGCGTTGCAACGGGAGAAACATATTCATAGTCTCACAGCAGGGGGGACAATTGTCTCACTGTAAACGGACACCCGCACAACCCCCTCCTATCAGCACCCGTAGTCAACGACTTAATCCCCTTTGTCATCACAAAACCTCTTCTATCACAACATAGTAGTTAAGCTGTGTCGCCATGTTGTCGCGGCTCGTCCAAATCCATCAACCATGTCGCCGCCGATTTACTCTGCTCTGGCCTAGCCTCCGGAGCAGCCTATGGGATCTAGTCATGAAATTTTGTTATTTTCAAGCTAAACTGTCTGATTTCTTTCATAGCATGCACATCAACATATGGTGTTTAATGGAATTTTACATATTTGTGGAGAACAACTATATCATAGGGAAAAACAATCATCTTAGAAATTTTAGATATCCTTTTCAATAAAATAACGTTCTAGGCTCTCTAGATCCACGGAGCCAAATTGCCTCACTTAGTGATTGATCTGGTATTACACATTTGAGGGTGTTTATCAGACCAAAAAAATATCCCTTTATTCATGCAAAATAACTTTTATCGGACTATGCATGTACATCACATATCTTTATCTCTGGTTAACGAAAAATGTACTGAATATGACACCATCAAATATGTTAGTCTGATAATATTTTCATGAGAGAAACTATTAAGTCACTTCTCACATCTATTTCAATGAGTTCCTTGCTGGAAACAAAATACTACAATACTCGCAATTGGGTCAACTCTTGAAGAACAAAGCACGAGCTCTTTCATAAGAATAGAGCGCAAAAAGGCATTTATTATTTCAAACAATGAAAACCAGTCACCTCCATCAATAAAAAACGGATGATCTCACAAGAAGATTTTACACTAAATAACAGATAGAGTAAAGGAAGTAAAGCCTGGTTTCAAAGTCAAAATACTGCTTCACAAGACCAGCTATCCAAGTGGCTAATTTTTAAATTAAATAAAAAGTCCTTTTAACTCAGTGGTAGAGTAATGCCATGCTGATAAAGAGCTTTTTAAATTAGTGGTAGAGACTGGGCAAGATATGTTTAATTATGCATGACTCCATAGTCATTATACATCACAATATCGGTGAATGGAATAAACGACGGCTGGAAAAATAGAGTCCAAATGCATGCTCTGGAAGCAAAAGATATGCTTCAGGAGAAACACAAATCACAAGAAATCTGCTCCTTACTAGTAGTAGGTGGAGGTAATGTTGCCGAGGATGAGCAGCACATAGCCAGGGGCAGTGATGGGAGGGGCTACTGCAGTATGAAATGGAGGAGGCATGAGGGGCTTTGTTGGGTACGAATGCCGCCAGAGGCAAAGTCGTGTTGTGTAGGTCGCCGTCGGAGGAGACGTGAGAGAGGGCGAAGGGGACGACGAGGATGTGGGGTGTGTGGTGTTGATGATGGGTGATCGGAGTACTACAACAGAGGAGAAGTAAGAGACGTGTCGGCCGACTGATGACGTCAGTGTCATATTTGTTGTTGTCGGACGGAGGAAGGAAGGGAGCGGGAGAGGTAACGAGGAAGGGAGAGTCGTGGTAGTGGTGGGAGACGGGGTGGAAAAGAGGGCCAGGCAGCGCAGACAACAACAGCCACGATTGATCGGTTCTGACATTGTCGATTGTTGCCTATTTGTACGGAGCTTTTTCTGAGATATGGCTAGCCGAGAGAGATAGGGGTCGTTTAAAAATATCGACATGACACGGGTTGTCTAGAAATATCTACCTTAGTGATGTGGCTAGTCGGGAGAGATAGAAGTTGTCTAAAAATATCTGCACAACACGGGTTGTCTAAAAATATCTACCTTGGTGCGGGCGTCTTTACGCAAAATCGCCACAAATTACCTCTGCCCGTTAGATGCACGTTCGATAATCATGACTGTTAGATGCACATGTGATAATAAAAACAAAAATATCTACCTTAGGGCGGGCATCTTTCTGCAAAATCGCCACAGATCTTTTTGCAAAATCGCCACAGATCTTTTTGCAAAATCGCCACAAATTGCCTCCTCCGATAATCTTGCCCCTTAGATGCAGATCTTATAATAAAAAATTGCAGAAACACCATCGCACACCAACTCAGATTTTTTTATAGAAGTAGAGATTATTGTGGAAAGGAAAGGAAAGTAAAGTTGTTGACTATGCTCTAAACTGAACTTTCCCAATTTAGGGTAGCACAATGCTGCTGAAGAAGTTCAGCGTTAGCTGATCAGAGTGAGCACACATCATTTGGAAACAACAAGCACAACAAAACATACGAAGAAACATCGAGTGTTTCAACTTTGAACACACAGATTACAAACGAAATTTAGAAGAACTTAAAAGACAAAGACAGAAACATGTACATACACACGCGTATCGTACATGATTTACAGAACACACAAAACGTGTGAACTCACACGAACACTGCTGGAACACAAGCCCCAAACACACGAACGATAAAGCAGCTAAGCCCCAGATGAACCCAAACACCAGTCAGTGCACACCTGAACCAGCCAGGCGACTTATTCCAGCGATCCCACGAACTGATCACACGCTGCTGTACTTCACATCACATTCGTGTTGGTCCTCGGTGCCTCGCCGTGGAGCACTGGCCCCTCCGCCGCGACGCCCTCCCCGATGTTCCCCTCTGCAGCAACAAGAACAAGAACCCGTCGTCAACTCCGCTGCGAACGCCGAAAATATGTTTGCGGTTAGTAAGGGTGATGGGGCGTGTGGTGCGTACCTGTGGTGGGCTGCATGGTCTCCGAGACGCGGTTCCCGCCGGTGAGCGACGTGACGGCGCCGCGCGCCCTGGTCACCGCCTGTGCCGGCACCTCGCGCGCCTTGGCCACCGTGCTCCCGACCCCCTCCTTGCGCTGCTGCACGGCGCCGGTGATGGCCTCGCTCAGCGAGCGCTCCTCGTCGCCCGGGCGCAGCTTCTCGGCGATGTAGGCTGTCACGCCGGTCACCCCCTTGTCCTGCCCGTTCCCCGGCCCACCCGCGCCAGGGGTGACCGTCGCCCTGGTGGTGGCGCCGTCCTGCGCACCGACGCCTGGGGTGGCCGTCGCAGTGGTGGTGGCGCCGTCCTGCGCGCCGACTACAGGAGTGGCGGTGCCGGCCGATTGTGTCACCTGCTGCGCCTTGCTCGCCACGGCCGTGCCCACGCCGGCGACCTTCTCGTACACCGTGCTCGCCAGCTTCTTGCCGTACTCCGTGGTGCCCGCCGCAGCGGACTTGATCTTGTCGGTGTACGTCGTGCCAGGCGCGCCCTCCGCGCCCGCCGCGTCTGTGGCCGCGTTCATCAGCCCCTCCGCGCCCGCCGCGTCCGTGGCCGCGTTCTTCAGCTCCTCGGTGCCGGTGTAGGACGCCGTCGTTCCCTCTTTCGGCAAGTCGAGGTCCCTCTTCCCGGCACCTGCGGTCACTGAGTCAGGGGCGGCAGTAGCGCTGGAGTCGTCCTGCGCGTCCCCGCCAGCACCGAAGCCGGGGGTGACCTGCTGCGCCTTGCTCGCCACGACCGTGCCGACGCCGGCGACCTTCTCATACACCGTGCTCGCCAGCTTCTTGCCATACTCGGTGGTGCCAGCTGCCGTGTTCTTGAGCCTGTCCGTGTAGCTCCCGGTGTAGTCGGCGTCAGTGGGTGCATCGTTCCATTCCTCCCCGTTGCCGTCCGACACCGGCATTGCCTCATACTCTTTGCTCACGTCGACTTGCTTGGGGTCGTCTGACACAGTCATCGCCTCGAAGTCACGGACGACGTCCGTGGTGCCGATGTCCTCGCCACCTCGCGGCATGGGCGTCCTCGAGTTCGGCGCGGCCGGGTCCTCGACGACTGGGCCGCCGAGATCGCCGAGCCGCACCCCCTGGGTGTCGTCGCGCTGCACCTCCTTCGCCGACGCCCGGCCGCCGAAGTCGCCGAGCCGCTCCCCCGCGGCGTCGTCGCGCTTCACCTCATGCGCCGCTGCCGGGCCGCCGAAGTCGCCGACCCGCACCCCCGCGGCGTCCTCGCGGTTCACCTCATGCGCCGCTGCCGGGCCGCCAATGTCACCGAACCGCACCCCCGGAGCGTCGTTGTGCTTCACCTCCTTCGCCGCCGCCGGGATCCTCTCCGAGTCGTACACTGCAACGGATTATCACAAGCGATACAAGCCTTAAGCACCGACAGCACGCACGCGCACACGAGTGACACACACCGCGAGCATCTACTTACTGGGTGCGCCGTGCAGCTCGGGGCTGGAGTCTGCGAAGATGGGCTTGTCCTCGACGTCTTGCTGGTACCCGCCCTTCTCCACTTCGGCTTCCCTCATGGCCGCATCCTCCTCCTCCTCGTCGGTGCTGTTGCTGCCACCGGTGTCCTGGTCGTGATCGTGATCGTGGCCGTTGCCGTTGCCGTGGCCGTGGCCGGCGATGGTGTTCTTGATCTTCTTCACCTTGTCCTTGACCTTCTTGAGCACCGGCTTGTGCTGCTTCTCGTCCCGGTGCATCTGTTGCTGCCCGCCCTCCCCCTCAGCTGCAGTCACACACGTATGCCATTTGCAAGTAAATCAACAACGAACTCGTAACGGATATATGAATGGCGACGCCGTGCGTGCCGGGGATCCAGAGACCAGATTCGGTGTGGCACTACTCACCGGCGATGTTCTCGGGGACGTGCTTGCGCGTGAGCATGGCCGGCGCGTCCATCGTCGCACGAACGTCGGTGCAGCTGCTAGGCAATCTCAGACTCCTTGATCACTGTGACGAATTGGCTTGTTGCTCGATCGCTAAATGGAAATGCTGTGTGTGGGATGGTGAAAGCCTTGGTCGACTGAGGCTGGGATATAAGCGGAGCAGAACGGGGAGGCGAGCGCCACCTCGACGCACACGTGGGGTGGGTGGAGAAGGGGAGGGACGCGTGGCGCTGCCGCTCCGTGCCGTGACGGGGTTTAGTTTGGGGGTGGAAGCGACTGGAAGGTCCAGCTATCCCTGATTGGCCGGGGTGATCATGGAGCGGTTCCGCGTTCACGACGAGGTGGAATCGAGGCCGACGAGCCGTCTCGTCATGTGGCCTCCGCCTTTTGGCTGGGGATGCGTCGCGTCGGGTTTTGCCTCTTTGGTCGGTGTTTTCAAAAAAATTTAGGTCCTGTTTCATTCCAAATAAGTCGTCAACTTATAAATCGAAAAGTGCGAAAATTAACTTATTTTGCCAAATGGACCCAACTTATAAATCACTCTAACTTATAAGTCATAAGTTGTTCCACCCCAACTTAAAACTTATAAGTCACCACCTTTTGCATGGGTCCCACCACCTTTACATAAAAAACAAGATGAAAAGGTGCGCTCAGATGACTCATAAGTCAGATGGCAACCAAACAGGCGTGACTTATAAGTCACTGGTTTTAAGTCACCTAACTTATAAGCCAGGTGACTTATTGGAACCAAACAGGGCCTTAGGAAACCAATCTCGATGGGCAAAAAGACACGTCTTCTGTCTTCTGTATCTAAATAATTAACCCCACTAACATATTTCTCTCAATATGCAAACATGACACCTCATCATTCAACATGCATAAAAAAGGCCCACCTCAACATACAACTATGCATTTTAAAAATCCACTTCACCATGCATCCATGCGTGCATGTAAAATTCCATTCTATTATGCTATTTATATCAAATTCTTATATACTTTCAAAAACTATTATTTCAAATATTGATGTTTCGTGTAACCAAAAACCTCATTGAGATATTGCAAAATATTCCCGCAACAACGTGCGGGGCATCATCTAGTTTCTGTAATACAGCCACCAAATAGTTGGAAGATGTCAAGTTACTCTTAACATATTTACTAATTCTTCTCTAGATGATCGCGGCGAGGCCAATTCATCAACTAATGATGCTTAACGCCCCAGAGTGGGTCTACAAAGATATCGATAAGTGCATGCGGGCTTTCTTCTGCATAGGTAAGGACAGAGTAAATGGAGGTTAATGCCTCGATCGTCGCATGGGAGACCGTATGTCGCCCTACGCGATTCGGCGAACTAGGGATCAAGAACATCCGGTTGCAAGCGCTTGCACTGCGAGTCCGATGGAAATAGTTGAAAAGAGTAGATCAGCAAAGGCCGTGGCATGGGTTGAGGATGGTTGAAGACAAGGACACTTGCATGGTATTCCAAAGTATGGTCAAGATAATCCTGGGTGAAGGCAACAAAGTCCTATGCTAGAAGGATAGATGGATCCATTGGTCCATCGTAGGAGAAATTACGTTGCTCATTGTTCAGCTTGTGCAGCCGCGCGCAAGGAACATGAGAACTGTTCACCAGGCTTTGATTGAGAATGCATGGATCCACGACGTGCAAGGGGACCTTTCCTTCGTGGCGCACATACAAGCCGCGCACCTTTGCCAGGCCATTGCTACCTTTTTTTTAGGAACCGGCAGGAGCACTGCCTTTTCATATAAGGAGAATAAAGTTTATGTACAAGAGTGTTCCGGTTTTCCGAGAGAAACCGAACAAAAACCCATAGAAACTAATCAACCGATACCGGCTGCTACCTGTGCTCGGCCAAAGGCCAAAGTCCTTTGCTTGATGTCGTCGAAGGCAATAGCTGCTACCTCTAGGTGCGTGAGGCGAGTTCCATTGAAGATGCGGCGGTTTCGCTCCTTCCAGATGTTCCAGATGGTGTAAAGGAAGCGGCCGCTCCGCCTTCTTCCGTCGTCCTTGGGCAAATTGGTGGTGAACGAATCCCACCAGTCCGAAATCCCCATCGAAGGGGGCAACGTGGGCGTGGCCCCAGAATCCTCTCCCGTCCACACCTGGACGTGAGACCAAACTGCGGCGGCAAACGGGCAGTCCTTACAGAGATGAGTGGCCGTCTCCGGTGCCCCAAGGCAAAAGGGGCAGCGAGGGTTGTGCGGCCAGCCATGAACGGCTAGCATGTCGGCCGTGAGGATTTTTCTGTGGAGCACAAGCCAGGCGAAGAAAACTTGCATTTTGGCTCAGCGTGTGCCTCCCAAATCTTGGCTGGGGAAAACCTGGGATAGGATGCAGAGAACTGGGCCGCGTAGGCCGAAGCAGCAGAGTATATGCCATTTGGGGTCCACCGCCAAGTGATGGAGTCCTCCCGGTCCGGGTTCAACTCAACCTGAGAGATAGCTGATGCGAGGGCAATGAACTCCTGTAGATGGGTAGGCGATGAAAGACGGGCCACCGATCTGATCCAGTTCTCCTCCTGGAGCTCCTTCATCACAGTTCTCCTCTTCCTGGTGGCAATTTTGTACAGCTCCGGGAAGGCCCGGGACAGGGGGCCCCGTCCTGTCTAGTCGTCGTGCCAGAATAAGGATTTTCTCCCATTGCCCAAGGAGATGGTGGTAGAAGCCCTGAAGAGCGCCATATCCGTCTCATCGCAGGGCACCGCAGAGCCCACCCATTGGCGGCCAGGATCAGTCCACATAAGCCAAGGCCAGCGCAGACGGAGCGCCCGACCAAATCTCTCGAGGTCAGTGATTCCCAGGCCCCCCATGGGCTTAGGCCGGCAGACAGTCTTCCAGTTGACCAGAGAATGTCCGCCAGACGCGTTTTCCGAGTCTTCCCCGCACCAGATGAAGTTACGAGTGATCTTACTAAGCTTCTGGATTGCCCAAGTGGGAAGCGAGAGCGCAGTGAGGTGATGATTTGCGATGGCGCACAATACAGACTTTGCAAGGGAGACCCTGCCCGGTCGCGCCAGGTTCTTCCCCTTCCAGCCCGGCAACCGGCCCATTGCGTTGTCTAGAAGAGGTTGGAGGTCAACCCTTCTGAGCCGCCTGGTATGTAGTGGGAGACCTAGGTATCGGCCGGGGAATGAGGCCAGCTTGGCCGGGAAGGCTGAGAGGATTGCCGGGAGATCGATGTCCTGGCAGCAAATGGGAAACACCTCGGTCTTGCTGACGTTTGTGACGAGGCCCGATGCATCCCCAAAACAGGCAAGGATCCTAGCGATGGCGTCGATCTCTTCTTTGACCGGGTTAGCGAAGATGCCTGCATCGTCTGCATAGAGAGAAACCCTGCAGGAGGCCGTCCGCGCCCTGATGGGCTTGAGGGTCCCGGCCCGGGAAGCCGCCCGAAACATAAGTTGCAGAGGATCGATGGGCAGAATGAAGAGCATAGGTGACACTGGGTCGCCCTGGCGAAGGCCTTTTCCATGTACGAATGGGGTTCCCGGCTCCCCATTTAACAGCACCCTAGAGGAAGATGAAGCGAGGGTCATGCAGATCCATTCCCGCCAGCGCTGCCCAAATCCCAACTGTTGCAGCACCTCCATGAGGTAAGCCCAACCCACAGAGTCGAAAGCCTTGGAGATGTCGAGCTTGAGGAAAAGGCCTGGCGTTGAAGAGCGGTGCAATTCTTTGATCAAGTTTTGCACGTGTAGGAAATTATCGTGGATGCACCGTTTTTGCACAAAGGCACTCTGGCACTTGGAAACCAGCGACGGAAGAAGAGGGGCTAGTCGGTTAGCCAACAGCTTGGAGAAGATCTTGGAGATGCTGTGTATCAAACTGATTGGGCGGTAGTCGCCAATCGAGGATGCGCCGGCTTTTTTCGGGAGCAGAATAATGTTGGCAGAATTGATCAGGCCAGCGCAGTCGCCTCTCAGGTTCGCGAGCTGCATCACCAGAGCCACGACATCCACTTTGATGATCTCCCAACATGATTTGAAGAAGGCACCGATGAAACCATCAGGGCCCGGGGCCTTGACCGAAGGTAAGGAGAATACCGCCTCCTTAATCTCCGCCTCGTCGAATGGAGCGTCCAGAGCCGATAGGTCGTGGCGCTGCATCCCAATGTTCTCCCAGACAATGGACTTGGTGCACAGGGCAGGCGTGCCGATGTTAGCCTGGAAGTGGTCCAGAAGGGCCCGTTCCTTGTCCTGTCTAGTAATTGCCAGCCCTGAGGTGGTGGTGATTGTCTGGATGAAGTTCTTACGCCTTCGTCTGTTCACTCGAGCATGGAAAAGCTTTGTGGTGGCATCCCCCAGCCGGATCCAGTTGAGCCGAGAACGCTGTCTCAGCTTGATTTTCTGAATGGCGAGGAGCCCCAGGTACGAGGCCTTAAGTTGTTTACGCAATTCCCTCTCCAAGTCCGAGAGCGGTCTTCCCTCCTCAGCAACATCCAGGCGCCAGATGATCTCCTTGGCAACTGTGATCTGGGAGCCAAGCATCCCGACCTTTTCCTTTTGCCACTTGCGCAGGGCCTTCGTGGTCCGACAGAGCTTGATATGAATCTTGCGGATGGCATCCCGGGCCTGAACAGGTTTGCTCCATGCCAAGGCAACGGTTTCCTTGAAGCCCGGGAGATGAAGCCAGAATTCCTCGAATTTAAAGGAAGGCTTTCTTAAGTCGTCGACGCACCCCTGAAGATATAATGGAGCATGATCCGAGCAAGCTGTGGTGATAGCCTGAAGGTGCGCATTGGGAAAGAGCATGTCCCAATCGTCAGAGTGGGACACGTGGTCAATCTTGGTATGGACCGGGTTGGCCTGCGCATTTGACCAGGTGAAACGGCGCCCGCCTAGGTGAAGCTCCTTTAGCTGCAAGAAATCAAGAGCCCCATGGAACTTGCCCACCAGGCGGCGGTTGATGTTGGTGTTGCTCTTATCCATCGCTTTAGTGATGAGGCTGAAATCCCCCAGAAGGAGCCACTCGCTTCTGGCCATGGTATTGAGAGTC